CACAATCACCCTCACCTATCATCTGGGGCTGGTACAATAGGTCAGATGTGGCCACATTGCAAGGGACTTAGTCCCACAGCACTAGCAATAAAAAAGAGTAAACAATAACACAATAGGGAAAATGAATGGATAAGAAAAGGTTGCCTCTCATTGTGAAATTGTTAGAGACTGAAGTAACACACACAGTGTAAGGTAAAGGTAAAGTTGTCCCTGTGCTTAACTATTTAAGCACTACGCCATCAGGGCGTGTGGGGGAATGGATGTAGAGATCCACATGTTCTTGATCTCGGCATTAGTTGGAGGTGAACAGACACGCTGTAGGAATCATAATATCAACAAAGATGTGCTGTTTGCAGACGATCAAGTTATAGTCTCAGACTCAAGACGATAATTTACCAAGAGGAATAGTTGCCTTACTTCAGACCTCAGATATTAAAATTTCAAACCAGGATACCAAAATCATGGTCACTGTGAACATTGAACCAAAATATAAAAGATAATTTGAAACAAATAATATATCAGAACGTTTAAGAATTTACGGTAGTTGTCTCCTTTGGGGTCGTGGAGTACAGACGCGTTGTTNGAAGGTTAGTCGAGACTGTAATAGACTAAGGACACTAGTCTGTGTGTGACAATGATCTGTAAAGTGTAGTCTGAAGTCGTGAGTGTATAAATGGTCAATAAACTGAGTCACTAATCCGGACCACGTTTATGGTCACCCCTAAATCCTGACAGTATCAAAGAGAGAACACAGTGTCATTCACTGTACATCAAGATTAAAATTTACGGAACATTTGCTCTGCTGTCCCATATTTATGGAAGCGAATGATTACAAAAGTACATCATGAACTTCGGACAAAAATAATGACCGATTTTAGGATTTCGCCGCGGTGGTTACTTGTTGATTCAGTTCTGTTCTTGGGTTGTTACATCTCGTACTTGTGGGGGATGATGCTGACGTTTCAAATATACACGCTGCTTCCATCTTCAGGGGAAATATATAGGTTGATATAAATATACATAAAGCAAATCGTCAACCTACATACTTTGATCTTCAAGATGGAGGCAACATATAGACCTCTCAAACGTCGACGGCATCTCACAACAGTCACGCGGTTTAACAACCCATGGAGAGAAATAACGAAATAAAAGTTCTTTACAACCTACAGCAGGATACGTGCCCTAAAAGTGATTTCTATCTTCTGGGATATAACGTCGTGTAGTCCGTTGAAGTTTAATCACGTTTCAGTGGGATATGTCGCCGTCATTTTCATGATTCAAGAGTAAGCCACACAAGAAATCAGCATGACTCAGTTAGCAATTGTATTTATTCTTCGAGACCGAAGATGGAACCGACATGTTCCTCCGAAACGTCAGTTGACTTTGAGTAGGCTACACGACGTTTTATCTCAGAAGAAACATTTTTGATGACCACTTCTGTGAGAACTTCAGATCCTACAAGAAGTGATTTTAAACGACCTCATAATGGATTTATTAAAAGAATATTTTATACCTTTAGAAATATTTGTCCTCAACATGTCAGTCATTCCCAAAACAATTTTAACATACTGTCCAACTTCATGGCAACCGCTTGGACACCCCCTTCAGAGATCGCAGAACGATGTGAAAGCTGACATCGAAACAGGCCAACCTAACTTCGTGACTGGATGACGCTGATGATGATGTTGATTTTTATCATCTAATCTCATTATACTAGTGAAAAGTAAAACAGGCATATGTGTATTTATGACCCAATTTTATGGCGTAAACTAAAGATATCTCTGGGCTTAATTAAGCGTCGCTCCAGGAAGACGTGGGGCACGCGGTAGCGTAGTTGATTGAGGCACAAAGCTACAAGTCGGAAAGTTGCGGGTTCGAGTCCCGATGAGGTGGACTTTTTTTTTCAATTTATCTAATCCTCCCAGCCGCACTATGGCCCTGTGGTGAAATTAGTCTCTAACAGAAATGAGTACCAGGAATCTTCTGTGGGGTAAATGGGTGCCGGAGCGTAAGGCTGACAAACTTAGCGCCAGCTGTGACCCGATTTTCTAGAGAAAATGTGGGAGCCTCGACGTCTCACAACCCTATAAGCCTCCACGGCCTATTACAGGGATAGCTAGCTTCTTTTTACCTTACCAGGAAGACGTATGGGGGAGTGGAAGCATAGCCCTATCGTTCTTGAATTCGGCGGTAGAAGAAGGAGAGTGGTCAGCTTCAAGCACATGTTGCTTTACTCCAGATGATATGCTCCCCCTTACCCATTATATAGGAGGTTAGGTGAGCTCACAAATTCAATCTGGGTGTTATGCAGAAGAGAAGAAGTTATTTCCCTGCCAGGAATCGAACCCGATTCCAATCAACCAACTAAATTACTGTAAAACTGAGCTGTCTCCGTTTCATCATTTCATTCTGCGACAGTATAAACTTTCTGTGAGTTTAGGTGTGTGCTCCACAGTTGCTTTTGTCAGCAGTCCTGAGAACAATTCACTGATGTACTTGATTCATCACACATTAGAACTTCCATGATAATTGCCGTAAGTTGAGAAACTGTGGCTTGCTGCAGGAATGTGAGATCTGAGGGTTTTCTCGGCTGTGAAAATTGAGAACACGATCTTCGAGGTATGACATCATGCAGCCTCGTATACGGTTACCAGCATTTTGTTGTAACCTGTTCTTCCGAAACGTAGGCAACCACCTACCAGACTACACGATGTCATAACTCAAAGGATCAGAATCTAAAATGCTGAAGTAACTTTCATCTCTTTCACTCACTCACTCACTCACTCATGGAGCTGAGCCCTTCTTCAGAAGCCGCCAATTGAGCAGCTACACAAGAAGTTCCCAGCACTTCATGGAACCAGAGGCTTCATTACCGTATTCACAGGAGCCCTCTACTGCCCCTATCCTGAGTCACATCGATCCAGACCACGCGATCCCACACTATCGCTTTAAGGTCAATTTTAGTATTGTCCACCCACCTACGCCTTTGTCTTCGTAGTGGTTTTTTCCTTCTGGCTTTCCCACAAATATCCTATATGTATTCCTCTTCTCCCTCAATCGTGCTACATGCTCTGTCTATATCATCATTCTTGACTTGATTACTGTAATTATACTTCGTGAAGAACACAAGTTATGAAGCTCCTCATTAATTTTCATCTGTTTAGGCCTCACATATGGAAACGAGGGTATCCAGTGAGCTTTTTCTTTCAAAACCAACGGGACCCGTCTTCCAAAGGGCCACGAAGAGAAAAATCACAGGCTCTACTGCATCACCGCTCTTTCCCTTGCCTCAGCGCAGTCGTTATAAGGACGGGCAAAGGTTGGACGGCCGGAGTTCGATTTCTGGCACGGGAAAGATATTTTTCTCTTCTCACGTCCCAAACCGACTCTGGGACCCACCCAGCCTCCTGTCCAATGGGTACCTGGATCTCTTTCCTGGGAAGGGTGTAAATCGACCGGGGTATTAAGCTGACCTTTCATCTCTATGTACTTCCACTTTCCTGTTAGTTTTCATGGCGTGGTGCTTAGTTAAGCACAGGGATAACTTTACCCTAGATTACCCTACCCTTAAAGTCTCAATATGGAGTCCTGTCTGAACTCTTCAGCACGTCGCGATGTAACGGCAAATCAT